AAACGCGCCGACACCCCCTTTCGGAGCAAAAAACTGTGAAGTCAACAGAATAGTCCTGGCTTCTCTGGATGGGCTGAAAGTGCCCTGAATGAGCATCAGTTCATGCCACTGAACATGCCCCTTTTCGGACGAGCGCCCCACAAAAAAATTGCCAGGTCGATGATTCGATTCATTTCGATGTGTAACTCACCACATGGCTAACGTTCTTTGCTCTGCCTGTGGTTGCAGGAGGCGCTTCGCCACTCGTTCAAACAGCTCACGTGCACGAAGCGCATGCTCCCTGCAAGGGGGGCTTGGGAGACTTTGACAGCCGAGACACCAACACCAAAAACGAGATGACTCAGGAGTAGCGGGTATCCTCACGAGTATCCTACAGCCACTCCCATCTCAACTCACAAACCACACGGATGGGTAGTATACTGAGGATGTCCTGTCCGATATTTACATCTGCTTCTGTTGTGACCAGGGGGATGGGTGATTAACCCACGAAGCGGTGCTCATTCGTCCAGCACCAGGAAAATCCGCCCGCCTGTGCACTGGCAGGGGCTGAAGAGCCGGCCCGTCTGCTTGGACTCTTCTGAGTCGAAGCAAATGCGGCAGCAGCGCTGCTCTGCAGTGGGACCAGCGCCCTGGGGGAAGATGAGAACATACAGTGATTTCAGAGTAGATGGCACAAACTCCTACATGTCATGTGGATGGGGGTCCATATAAACCACCTAACTTGGGATTGCGCCATCTACTCTGAAACCACTGCAACAAAAATGATAAATATTATATATATTATATACTATATAACATATAAGTGTCTTCCACTGTTACAAGGAATCAGCATCAGGTCGCACAATCCTGCCATCAAAACAAGAGGGAAGCGGGCTGAAAAAGGCTTTCCTGTGGTGACACTCTCATCTAATTCCGAGAAGGAGGTCGCTGAGCTGATGGCCTGCAATGAAAAAGTCATAAAGCGTTTGTTTTTCCACGCCTTCCAATCCATTCCCTCACTGTGTGTATGTATAAGTCTCTATGTATTATATGTATGTTTATATCCCTTCTTTTACAGTTTGCATACGTACAAAATGTTCTCCGACCTCTGTGTATCAGCACATGACGCCGAATATTCTCCGCGTCTCCTCGCACGTCATCATACAGTCCCCTGGCGACTTCAAGTCGCAACACCCAATGGCCGCAGCTTGATTCTCCACCCGCTCTCACCGGCCTCTCGTTCTTCTCCGGCCTCTCGTTCCACCGGCTCTCCAGCACCCGTGGCCTCCGGAACCGCCGTGGCGCCTTCCGGTGCAACGACCGGCGTGGGACCGGCGGCCTCGGCCGCTTGGGCCTGGGCGGTTTCCCACTGGGCAGCCCGTCGCCGGCGGATCTCCGCCAGCTCGTCCATGGCGAGTCCGGAGAACGCGCGGGTCGCACGAGGAGAGGTGGACACAAGGGTGGGGCTGGTGATGAAGGGCGGAGAGCACGTAAGATTGAAAGCCGTTTGGGTGCGAACGGGTGCCGTGCTGAAACCCAGGTGGAAGGGGCACATCGCAAAGACCAAAATCGTAATTTGATGAGATGTGCTTCGTCAGGAGTCTGCAGTGTGCTGATGACCTTGGAGTTGATCGGAAAGATTGAGCCCTTTGGCATGCTTTGGCATCTGCAAGTGCCAACACTGGCAGGGACGGGCTTTCTTCTTGCCGGACTTCAACATCAAAACACTGTCTCTAGTCCGGACCCTTCAAACACTCACCCAGCTTCGTGTTACAGCTGCGATCTCTTGGGTTTTTGATGCGCTGAAGTACTTGGCATTCTGGCTTTGAAGAGGAGCCGAAGGCCAGCAGGCAGCGACACCCAAGTGGGATAGAATCAAGGGTCCCAGTCCCAGGCAACCACTGCCATTCTCAGGGCAGATCCTAGGTCCTAGAATCTGCCAGCATTGCCAGCAGGGTCCGTAGAGTATATTGGACAATGGCGGCTCGGGCTGTGGTGGAAGGACGACATTGGACATCAACAGCCCAAGCTGTCAAACATGCTGCGTCTCCGGAATGGTGATTGATTCAACATGAGAATGTAGACTCTTTGATTAATAAACCCACCCCGCTTGAATTGGACATCCTCTTTCAATGGGGGTGGGTTTATTCATCTCAGAGTCTACATTCTCATGTTTCCTGACCGTCGTCTTCTTCGGAGAAGGTCCAAAACCCTGATCCCCAAGAATCGAGGGCTGCCACCCGGTGGCCCGTCCGCTCGTCCGCGTCGGTCGTTCTCCCTGGGCATCCCGAGCTCTCGGCGGCGCCCTGGTGGAAGAGCGGACAGGTCAGCGCCAGATCGGATGAGGGCGCAGTTGGAGAGCCATGTCCAATTCATGCATGCAGGTGAGGTCGAAGAACCCAGGTTAGTCGGAGTCAGGAAAAATGCATCAAGTATAAGCAGTGGGACAGGTGGGGCGTCTTAGTAACTCGGTGGAATTGAAGGGAAACTGATCGAACTGATGCGCCTGGTCAAGGAAACGAAGATTGAACAGATCCTAGGTCCACGTGTCCATGGTAGTTCTCGGGATCCGAAGTCCGACCAAGGATGCTGAAAGAGACTCTCGCCAACACACTGGAAACATGGAAAACACCTTTGGAATACACCTTGCAAAAGACTCAAGAGATGACCGGAGGCGCATCTTGACCGCGTGGCTCACTTGACAGGCCTGCAAGTAGCCTTCAACAAACAGTCCTCCGCAGGTGGTGAGACCGGTGTTGTCCAAAGTGCATCAATGTGCATGGTTCTTGCACCACCCAATCTCATTCGCCGGGTTCTTACCCCCACCAAGACGGGTGGACGGATGTTACGGGTGGGCGGATGTTGCTTCCCGAAGGAATGCATAAGCATCCTCCCATCCCTTCCCAGAATAGTAGCCTCCCTGGCCTGGTCCGAACGAAACCAAACAAACCACCCCGTGCCGAGTCCCCGGCGGCGTTGCCACCTCGCGGCCGAGGAAAACGGAGGTTCTGGAGCAACTCCCAGGTGTGTGCAGCCGATTTCTCGGCAACACTCCCTGGAATCATCATGGAAGATAGCACCACCTGTTCGAGGAAAATAGCTCAACGGCGTATATAGGGAGTTAGAACGTCCACACATACCTCAAGTTCCACGGCCTCAAGCGCCTCATCCAAATCTGGTGCCCTTTTCCCGTCCAAAAGAACCTGCAAAGTCGGGTTTCCTGGGGTGGCATAACATAGCACAGCAACCGACAGGTGCCAGGTGCCTGAAGCACAACCCACTTTCACTAGGATTCTATTTCTATATATGATGGTGCGGAGCAGTGAGCTCTCATTTCTTTAGAACAAACCAAGCTGATCCCTCTACTCTCGACAAACATATTTGAGCACTTTCTACTTGCATGGGTACTGAGATGTCATGACATATACCTGTTTCGCGACAAACTTTGTGGTTGAGTTGCATGGAGATTGGGAGTTTATACCAAACAAGAAACGATGCGTTTGAAGGGTTGTGTAAACGGATCGGGGCCAAGCAGGAAAATCTGTGCCATGGAAGCAGAACTGGTATCCAACGGGCTCGTTTTGAGATCAGCGAGTTGGAGATCTCGATGCTGAAGGTGAGAACCGTGAGAAGTAGGTTGAGGGTCCAGAAGCACAGGGAGAATGAGTAGTTGGCTGGAACCATCAAAAGGGTGTGGCACATCTTGGCATGGGAAAGACGTGTATTTGTGGTGGAGTGTATATATATATATATGTATATCAAGAGAGATTCAACACAGTGGCAATCTCATCTGAGCTTCCTCGTCGAACTGCAAAACCACTTGGGCACCTTGCACTTCGACCAGCTCTCCGCAGACCAACCACATGCCCCGAATTGAGTGCCAAGTGGAAGTGTTCCCCGCATGCCTCTACATCCACCAAAGCCCGCTCCAAATCACCTGAAGACCCGATGGGTGTGCACACACCATTCCCTGCCTGCAGCGCCCAAATCCCCGAACCTGGGGGCGGGGTGATGTTCTGAGCCCCATCATGAGGTTCTCAGGTGAATGTCCCAAGTCTGGGCGAGTGAGAACCATGAAAATTGCATAGACATTTCAGAACATGGTAGTTTAAACCGCTGTTCTCTAGCCAGTACAGTAATTAATCAGTCCTTGCTAGCTGCTAGTACCTCACAAATTAATCAACACAGGCTCAACTGGAAGGACTGAAAGGCCCTTCCAGTTGGAGCCGATCAAGAACCTGATCCTTCAAGTTGCTGCCCATACCCGGTCTGCTCCGCGGACCGGTCCGCGTGCTCCGTGTGGGGACATCCTCTGTCAATGAGTAGCAGGGTCTTTTTGGACGAGTTCTGCATGATGGTGATTCTCTCTCCAACCAACATTGGGAGTGGAGAAACATGGAAAACGCACCGTGTGGAACAAAGTCTTCCATCTTTGTTGGATGCCGGGTGAGGTACGTACTGCACATGTTCGAAAACACCTCCGGCCCTGCATTCCTTCGGCCACCCTGCAGCTGCTTCATCATGTCTTGTGGGTCCTGCGCTAAGCATGGCTGAAGAATCGTCTTTCTAGGGGCCACACCATCCGTTTACATGTCACTGAGTCGGAGGGTTGTCTGGGCGGGTAGTCCGTTGCAGGGATGATGACCTGGGCTTCCCTCTCCAAACAAGAACATGATGGATCGTGTCAAGTTGAAGGCCGCCATCATGTCCTTGCAAGCAACTCAGCAGAGTCCGCCTCTCCATGCGTCCAAGTCATGAAAATCATGGGAGTGGGAGCGTTCTCTTTTTCCGCGCGGGCCATTTATGTGTCATCCTCAAGTGCTAAGGAAGTTCGCCCTGCGAAACGCTGCAAGTTCAAGAGATTAGGACGCTTCTATCTAGTGCAGAACAGTGCCTCACCAGTTGGTCCTAGATCGGTTGTGGGTCCAAACTGCGCAGAACCAGCGAAGCTGCCCCCATGAATATAAACAGAATGAACTACAGGGGAGGTCGCCCTATGCCCTGTGCACATCTGATCTACATGCCAGTGTTTTGGAGAAGCTTGTTTCTGACCCACATCCTTACATCGTCACAGACCCTGAACTTCATTCAGAGCTCACTTCTTCTTGCCACCCTTGTCATCACCCTCACCCTTGCGCTCACAGCTCACCACCTTGCCAAGCATCACCACGCCGTTGCCATCCATGAACGCCACGCGGGAGAGACCCTCACAGTTCTTGAAGGTGTCGCACACCAAAGGCTGCTGTGGCTGGAAGCTGCACTGAGCCATCTCGTTGGACTTCAGGGAGTGGGGGTCCTCCATCTTCTTTCCACCAGTCTCCTTGCCCATCTTCCACTTCAGAGCAGACACGCGGCAGGCGGCACGACCACAGCGCACGAAGCCAATGGGAGAATAGCCCACCTTGATCTCATTGGGGATGTCCAAGACCTGGATCTGGGCATCAAACTCCTTAGTTTGACCCAAGGTGGTGTCTTTCTTGTACACCATCACATCACCTGATCGGGGCATGTTGTTCTTGTCCAGGCCCTTGATGTTCAGGCCCACGTTGTCGCCGGGGTTGGCGAAGTCCACGCGCTGGTGGTGCATCTCGACGGTGAAGACCTTTCCAGTGCAAGGGTTGGAAGTCGTGTGAGTGGGCAGGAAGACCACCTCCTCACCAGGCTTCACCACACCTTAGGATTGACGAGTTCGCAGACTCGAAAAAAGAATGCTCCCCACAAATCATGCAAAATTCGAAACTCCTTGGATTGCTCACGGGGACAAAGTAGAAACCCTTTGTTCACCAACGATCGCTGCCAAAGCACCCTGTTCGACGCGTCCAGCAAGCACATCACCCACGCCCTTGATCTTGTAGATGCCACTGATGGGCATTCGCATGGGGGCGCTGATGGGGCGCTCCGGCACGCGGCACATCTTGTCCAAGACGTCATAGACCTGACCCGAGAGCCGATCATGTCTGTCTGGATGTTAATAAAGGATAATATATAAAGGTTGACCCTTCTTCACCTGTTGGAGTTGAGTCTGGAAACCAAAAGATGTTCAGGCTCATATGGTTTTCTTCCACATGAAATGCATGGATCATCATGGATCCTGTGGAGAATTGAGAATTGAGAATGGTTCTCTGCTGACTGAGTCGGAGACGGTGTCCACGTGGATCATCTCGCTGCCCACCTCCACGTCCTGGCGCGATGGATCCGCGGGGTTTTCGTGGGACCGTGGTCCGACCCGAACGCGGCGGACGGTCGAAATGGTTCGGGTTCAGGTTCGAAGCAGCTGGGCTTTTTGGGGGGGCTCCCTGTACTCCAATGTCCACTGGCTTGATTTAAAAAAAGAGTGGCGACATGTGGTGACAATTTGGGCATCTCTTCGTTTCAACTAGCAGCAACTAATATCATAAGAAAGCGGTCCTGACCCTTCCACCAGCCCATGTTCTCAGACTTCTTCAACAAGTTGTCACCCATCCAGCCAGAGATGGGCATCACCGGGGTGCTCTTCTCGATGAAGTCCTTCTTCCAACCCACCTGATCCACTGGTGACATAAAAACGCGTCTCGCGCCGGCGAAAGCTCGCCCCCCTCAAGCTACGCTGCTACACATGTTTTCGGGAAAGGGAAGCACCTTGACTGACCAATGTCTTGAGCTACTGAAGCTCCTCCTCCTATTTCCTGGTTCCCTGGTTCCCCAATCTGGATGGTCGTTGTCATGCCTGAGCGACATACTTCCTGGAGGTCGTTGCCCTCCAACAATGTCATGTAGATTCTAAATGAACTTAAAGAAAACTCTCCAGATGAAGAGGTTTGAACATCCAAGTGGGAGAATTTTCTTAATCAAGAGTCGACGTTGAGTATTTAGGGGCCTTAGCATCACCGTAGCATCACCTGACAAATTCACTGGCCTTCACCAACATGCTCTTCATCTCGTTGGCGATCTCATCGTACCGGGCCTGCTTGTACCCTGCAGTGTCACAGTCCATCTTGTTCACGCCGATGCAAATCTGCTTCACGCCCAACAAGTTGATGAGACGAGAGTGCTGACGAGTCTGTCCTTGAATCTCACCTGCTTTGTGGTTGCCCTTTGCGATGGCAGTGGTGAAGTTACCATCAGCTGGCACCATGATCAGTGCAACATCTGCCTGGGAGGCTCCAGTAATCATGTTCTTGATGAAGTCACGATGGCCAGGCGCGTCGATGATGGTGTAGTGCCACTTCTCTGTGAAGAACTCCTTGGTGGTGCAAGCAATGGTGACACCGCGCTCACGCTCCTCCTTCTGCCTGTCCATGAAGAAAGCAAAAGCGAAGGAGCCCTTGCCCAAGCGATCGGCCTCCTGCTTCAGCTTCTCCAAATCACGTTCAGGCAGGCCACCCAGCTCAAAGATCAAACGTCCGGTGGTGGTGCTCTTGCCGCTGTCGACATGGCCGCAAATCACGATGGAGAGATGGGGCTTCTCCGAGTTGGCTGGCATGATATCGAATCAGCTCGAGCGCGGGGCAAAATTTATCAGGGCTTGCGCTGAAATTGCTGCAGAAGTGGCTTTCCTGGGCGAACATCTCCCGAAGAAAACCTCAAAGAATCGAAGTGAGTAGGACCAACAAGGAAGTCTTCAACATGCTGACTCATCATCTCAACAGACATATTCCAAGACTAGAAATGGAAGACAAGAGAGAACGCTGCTGATATCCCTCTAATCCTGGCCCCTGTCGACGGTCTGAATGGTCTGACGACATGATCTGCTCACATGTCCCGCCTGGTTGGCGCCAAAGGGCTGCCCAGGAGCCTGTGTGAAGCATGCGATGGGGGGGCTCAAGCCGCAAGCCATCTCTAGTTGTCCATTTGAGGTACCGCGCTTTCTCCAACACCAGAAGGCGGTCGTGGTGGGGATTTCTGCGACACCAAAGGCGGTCGTGGTAGAGATGGGACCCTGCAAGGGCTTCTGACTACGAACCCCCAAACACCAACCCAAACTGATTAGAGATATTATGAGATAATAGCAGTCACATGTAGCAAAATGATCTACACTACTACCCGGACATGTTTGTTGGCCCCTGGACCTTGAAAAGCAGCCTTGGGACAGGGACACATGAAGCTCGAAACCCCTCAGTGCAGCTGGCACTGGTTTACCCACCAGGTGCCGATGACATCTGGAGCATCAAGCAACACTTCAACATCGTTCAGCAAACAATCCCCGGTTGTAGCTCCCAGCAAGGGTTAGGAACCAAAAAAGGGTTGTATATTTAGCCAGGATACCAACAGTCACACCAGGCTTTGGCCTCCAAGATCTCCCCACGCCCTGCCTGGCGAAAAGGATCTTTGCCCGCCCCTCTAGGTGCCTGGCCGGGCAAGGGCTGGTCGGGGTGGTCGTTCCATAGGCCATAGGGACGGAACGACCAGCCTAAGGAGTGGATTACAAACACTCTGAAGGAGATTGGCAAGATTACCGTACACCTGGTTCCCGAAACTTAATGTTTAATTGGCACAATGGAAAGCCATGGAAAATACCGTTCAATGTTGCTTTGCAGCCGCCCAAAGTGCCCCAATCAATGAGACCAACCAAATATCGGGTCGTTGTTGAGTCGTTGGGCATTGATCACCGCCATTCGGAGCGCATGTATCAAGGCAATACGACGATCACTGCATGGGCACGCTGAGAACCTCCAAGCGCTCCCAAAAAAGACCGGGGCCTTTTTGGGATCGACTTGGGTTGGTGGCTTCAACTGCTACTTCTTTTAGTCAGTGGGTTTGATCATCCCAAGTAAAGAGTATACCGATGGAACTTCGAATGTGGTTCCCGTTGTAAAAATCGTGGCATCGAGAGTTAGCAGCTCTTGGACCCGGAGACTGAGACCCAAGGTTAGAATCTGGTTATAGAACATATCAGAAACCAACCCTGCAGTACTAGCAGTCTCTGATCCTTTGCAGCGTGCCTCAGGCCGGCGGCTCTGTGTCCGCCGACAGGGCCGGCCCGACACGAAGGAGGCCGACTGCGGTCCGCGGCAGGAGAGGTGGACAGAAGGTGTAGTAGGCCATCTAGAGGTCAAATACACTCCCCAAATCATCATGGAAGTAGATGGCACCTGTCTGTAGAGGAAATGGTCATGCAAGGGGCCATGTTCCACTTCCAGTGGGGATGTCCAATACAAGATAATACAAGTTTCAGGGCATGTTGGTTCCCTTTCAGGATCCTTTTAGTGTTGGGCTCATTTGGCAGTTCCGTGCGACGGCCATCTACGGTTGCTTCTTTCCAGCAACCTGGACCAAGCATCTCTGACGATATACATAGACTAGACCAGCAAACCAAGTATGAAGTCAAACTCAGATGAAGTACTTCAACCATCCGAACCCCCACCCCAACGACTCAACGACCATCACCCCGTCATCGAATGTCATCGATATGGTGGGGATCCAGTTTGATGCAGCTGTCGGGGCTGTGGGGAACCCAAACGGACCTCCAACCAAGAAAGACCTGCGTGAGAAACTCACGTCCAATAGCTCATCATGTTCATCTCACAGTGGTGACAAGTTGAAAGGACTTGCGACCCACACCCGAATCATTGACCCTCATTCCTTTGCCCGCCTCAACAGCAGCTAAGCTCAAAATGGCCACCAGCAGCCTCGAGCGTGGAACTTCTCAAAACCCCCCACAATCTGGACAATGAGCACCGGCCATAGCCATGCATGGACAAAGATTGGTCAATTGCCTCAACTTCGATGCAAATATCCAGTGGCTATGGCTGCAACTGGATTAATGACATCTCCCACAAACGATGTAGCAAACTCCTCGACTTTGAATTCAAGCCACGGCCGCGTACATCAAGCAATCTGCGGATTTGTGTCGCCTGTATTTTGGCTGCCTTGGCCTCTGCTGTCCTGGTCACGACAAACTGGTCCAAACTCATCAAACCGTCCCAACATCATGGCAGTCTCTCTCCCCCCATGTTTGACAAAGTCTGGCTTCGTAGTCTATCTTTCATCTCTTTCTCTTTCTCTCAGGCATTTTCTCTTTGGAAATGATTTGGGCACAATCCCAAGCTCCTCTTCCATGTCTGAGCACCTGTCCCGAGACCTGCTCGCTGGACCGATCCATGGACCGATCCAAACCCGAAACGGGTTGGCAGTGGAGCTCTCGACCCTCTCCCAAGCGACAGTCGAGCTGTCACAAGCATATCATATATACAGTATATTATATGTATATATATTCATATTATTTGCCCTAGATTGCTTGTAGGCCCTGGGTCACATCTCCAACTGTCCATATCACAGTTGGAATAGTTGGAGGTGTCTCATTAGCATGTTTAAGTCCAACTAATCCGACCATCGCAGCCAGAGGAGTCGTTGAGGTGGTCAGCCAGTGATGAGCCCCTTCGGCAAATCCCAGCCATCTCATAGAAATCAACGCCAGAGTTACAGGGGGCTCAGAGTAGATGGCACTGGCATCACAAGATGTCTTAGTAGATGAGGGTCCATATAAACCACCGTATACTTGGGCATTGTGCCATCTATTCCTGAAACCACGGGTTTTACATCCTATGCCGCATGACCGATCTGCCCTCGAGCCACATGACGGCTCGTGACCGCTCGTGACCGCTCGTGACCGCTCGTGACCGCTCGCCACGAGGCAAGAACGAGCTGAGCTTGCTGGTAGCTTCGCAAAGCTTTACAAGGCAATTTACATTCCGTGACCTCTCTTGAAAGCACGCTTGTCACTGAAAAACCGTTCATTTGCCGGCTAGCTTGTTCAAGGCTCCATCGACGTAATTGGCAAACTCTCAAACTTTCAAGGCAATCGTGGCTTAGGCAAACTAGCTGCAAGTATGAGAAAGCTTCTGAGCCTACGTCTTACGTACCATGGCTTGCCTTCGGTTTTGTGGCGGCTACTCTCACTGAGGTACATAAGCTTCCGATGCATCTTTCTTTCTTTCCAAGCATGAAAGGGTCAGTGCCCGTCGCGAAAACAAGGAATGTAGATGAATATGAATACTCATGACTCATGAATAACTACTCATGAATCTGTCAGATGCTACATCTATCATTCTTCAGAGATCTTCAGAGGACTCTCTAAACTCTACCCACGATTCGTCCTGGCACCGGGCCTCCATCGCGGCCGCACGGCCGGACATGCTTTCCAGACAACGCGTTGAGCCGTCAGTAGAGGCCAAGAGGAAGCGTCTCAATGATGTGCAGGGCACTCTTTGCCAAAACAGCTGAAAGCTGTTCCACATGCGCACTTCACCTCCCCATATCTTCAATAAAGGTCGAAAAAGTTTCAAGAAAATGCATCAAAAATCACCCACCGGTTTTTGTCCCCCTACTGTTTATGACTGTTGCCCAGAAGGTTTGGTTGGCTCCTCTCTCTCTCTCTCTAGTTGCCCACGATGGACGGTCTAGCAGCGCCTTTTCTCCGTCTTGCGCCTTGGGCGTCGTCTTGGGCCTGCTGTTCTGCAGAAGTGTTGTTCTCCGAGATCTCCCTGCACCAATCCCTTCAGTGGGATAGTTAGGGCAGTCTCTGTACAGTCCAATGGGACCCAGTTGCCATGAAATGGCTACTACCAGATTCTCGAGAAGACCAGAATCCAGTTCCATGACCCTCCACAAACCAACAGAACCGGCTGCCTGCCAAAACCTGCTGGGGGGGGGGGCTATGTTGGTTTGTGGGAGTGCATAGGGCAGTCTGGAAAAGCTCCACTGCCGGGGCAACTGAGGCCCTTTCAGCTCTTCGAAACCCAACTGAAGAAAGACGGGCGTGGGTCAAGCTGACAAATGCTGAAAGCCCCAAACCACGGAGAACATCCAGGATGTGACATCCGCATGTTCATGTACACGCATCCAATCATGGTGCGATAATGTGCGATATATCATTCTGCGGCCAAAGACCTTCCGGATCTCCCTCTTCTCGTGATTTCGTGGGTCAAAACGATGCCATTTACCTATTGGATCTCCTTCTTCCCTGCGTCACAGCGAAGAAAAACCCTACTGGAAACCGATCCATCCTAATTCGTTCTTCGACCCACGCCCAAAGATCTCACGGGTCTGAATTCATTAACCAACAAGGCCATGCTTAACAAGGCCCTGTTTCACTTTTTGCCCTCCACCATCGGCTCTCCACCATCGCGCAGATCGGCGGATCGAATCTCGGCAGTTGGGGCGCCTGCGAAAGGGCGCAAGGACGCGCTTGGTGGAGAGATGTGGCCCTCCTGGAGAGGGGCCCCGGTGCGAAGCTGTGGCGCTGCGATACTTCATCCTTGTTGCCGCTGCTTTTGCGCTGGGGCGGGAATTGACCTGTGAATTAATTTAATAAATATCACCAGCGGCTTTGCCCATGGTGGTTCCCAGCATGCTTTTCGCATTGTCTTGGATCGGGGAGGTGCTCTGATGCCAAACCCTAGGAGTCAGGCTCTCTTGTTGTTTAGTGTACAGTTGAGGCCTGGCTCCGCTACTGCATGTTCGCTGCTTCTTCGCTTGTTGATTGCTTCCTCTGAGGTTCTTAGGTTTCGACCGCAGCCTGGCGCATACGCTCGATTTGTAG